TGCTAAAGACATAAACTGAAACATATCCCATGTTCATGGGATGGGAAGAGTTAATATTATTAAAATTTCAGTATGTGGTATGATTTCAATCTTCTTGTTCTTGCTGCTGTTTTTCTTGGACCCAATATGTGATTGATCCTGGAGAATGATCCATGTGCACCTGAGAAAAATGTGTATTCCATTTTTAGGGAGGTGTAGTGTCCTATAGATGTCTATTAGGTCCATGTGTTCCAGATCTTCATTTAGGGTTATTGTGTCCTTGCTTAATTTCTGTCTTGTGGATCTGTCCCTTGGTGAGCATGGGGTGTTGAAGTCTATGACCATCTATGTGTTTTCTCCAGTGCCTGTTTTCAGAGATGATAGTAATTGTCTAATGTATTTTGGTGTTCCTTCATTTGGTGAGTATATATTGATGAGTGTTATGACTTTCTGGTACATTGTCCCCTTAATCATTATATAGTGTCCATTGGTGTCTCTTGCTGTATTTTTTAGTTTGAAGTCTATTTTCTTTGATATAAATATGGCTACCCCTGCCTTCTTTTGGGGCCATTTGATTGTAAATTGTTTTCCAACCTTTTATTGTCTTTTTTTAAAGATTTATTTATTTATTTATTTATACATGCACTGGGTACAGTCAGAAGCGTGGGAGGGTGAGAGAATTCACCAGAGCCAGAGCAGGGAACAGAACAGGCAGATAGATGGAGGACACTACTGAGGGTAGCAGCAGGTGCAGCAGGAGAGGTCTGTGCGCCATGTGGGACCCTCACCTGCGCCCGGGGAACGAACCGGCACTGCAGATGCTGTGGGCAGCTTCACAGCCCAGTGCTCAACCGCTGCGCCACCCAGTAGGCCCCAACTTTTTATTTTCAATCGATTTTTATCTTTAGAGTTTAGCTATGTTTCCTGGCTGCAGCAGAAGGCTGTATTCTATATTCTTATCCAAAAAGCTACACTGTATCTTTTTCATTTAGGGTAATTATTGATACATGGAAGTATGTTATTTCCATTTTGGTCATTGCTTTGTGATTCGATCCAAACCTTGTTCAGTTATTCATGTTCATTCTGCTGTTGGTTTAGATTTTAAGGCTTCTTGTAATATTTCTTGTAGTGGGGGTTTAGTAGTAGCATTGGAGATGGAAGGGATTATGCTAGCCAAAATAAATCAGAAAGAAAAAAAATAAATATTGGATGGTTTCACTTATATGTGGAATATAGAGAAACCAAAAAAAATAAAGGTCAATAAAAAGACAAAACCAGCAAGTTGACCATAGATGTGAGGCATGCAGTAAGGGAGGAATGGGGGTCAAAACAGAGGATAGAAGAACACAAAGGAATATGGTGATGGCTCATGAATGATATGGTGGTGAGAGAACTATGGGGACTACATCTGAGGGGAGAAACCCATTACTGTACAATAATGAACAACAATGTAAGGAAATTAAACTAAATTAAATTAAAAACTGGGCCTCCCCAGTGGCACAGCGGTTGAGCGCTGGGTTGCGAAGCTGCCCGTGGCCTCTGCGGTGCCAGTTCGATCCCAGGCTGCTCCCCGGCCACCAGAGGAGGGTCCCACATGGTGCCCCGCTGTTCCCCTCAGCAGTGTACTTCGGTCCTTCTGCCTGCTCTGCTCCCCGCTCTGGCTCTGGTGAATTCTCTCACCGTCCTGCACTTCTGACTGTACCCAGTGCATGTATAAACAAAACAAACAAACAAACAAATAAATAAATAAAAAAATGCCTCTATTAAAAAATATTAGTATTAAATTAAAGTAAAAACTTCAATACTTTCCCAAGTAATCTACAGATTCAATGAAATCTATGTCAACATCCCAATGATTTTGTAGAAATAAAAAAACACATCCTAATATTCAAATCTATTCTCAAGGACCCTAGAGAGTCAAAACAATCTTGAAAAAGAACAAAACTGGAAGACACTTCCTGATTTAAAAAAAAATACTAGAAAATTATAATAATCAATACAGTGTGGTACAAATATAAAGATATATGTATCTATATATATCTATATATATCTATATATATATAGATATATATCTGAGATAGAGTGCTCAGACATAAACTCTTGCATATATAAGATCAATCTTTTAAACAAATGATGCTGGTAAAACTGGATTTCCACAAGCAAAAGAATGAAAATGCACCCTCACCTAACACTATAAACAAAAAGTAACTTAAAATATATTAAATACCAAAATGTAAGATGTAAAATTACAAATCTTGGAAGAGAATACAGGGCAAAATATTCACGATTTCTTAAGGATTTCTTGGCTATGGCATTAAAGGTATGGATAACAAAAGGAAAAACAGATATATTGGATCTCATGAATTTTTTTAAAGATTTATTTATTTTTATACAAGAGCTGGGGTACAGGCCAGAGGTGCAGGAGGGTGAGAGGATTCACCAGAGGCAGAGCAGGATGCAGAACAGGCAGATGACAGAAATACACTGCTGAGGGGAACAGCGGGCAAGACAGGAAAGGTCTGTTTCAGCATGTGGGATTCTCGCCAGCTGGCCAGAATCGAACCCACACTGCTGAAACTGTGGACAGCTTAATAGCGTGGCACTCAACCCGCTGTGCCACTGGGGAGGCCTGAGATCTCATGAATTTTTTTAACGTACATCAAAAGACTGTCAACGTAGTGAAAGACAACCCACAGAATGGGTAGAAACATTGGCATATAATTTTTCTGATAAAGGATTAAATCCAGAATATATAGCAGACTTCTAAAACTCACCAACAAAAAAAATAAACAACCCAATTTAATAATGGGCAAAGTACCTTAATAGACATTTCTTGAAAGGAGATAAATGACCAATAGGCACATAACAGATGCTCAACATCACTAATCACTATAACTGCAAATGAAAACTGTATTGAGCTACCACATCACATCCTTTAGGATGGCTACTATCAATAAAAACAGAAAATAAGTGGTTGGATATGGAGAAATTGGAATGTATGTGCACTCTTTGTAGGAATATAAAATGATACAACAATTATGGTTCCTCAAAAATTTAAATATTTAATTTCCATAGTTTCCAGGATTTCAACTTTAGGGTATATACCAAAAAGAATTGAAAGCACACGGCCTCCCCGGTGGAGCAGTGGTTGAGCACTGGGTTGCAAAGCTGCCCGCAGCCTCTGCGGCGCCAGTTCGATCCCTGGCTGCTCCCCGGCCACTGGAGGAGGGACCCGCATGGCACGCAGACCTCTCCTGCTGCCCGCTGCTCCCCTCAGCAGTGTACTTCGGTTCTTCTGCCGGCTCTGCTCCCCGCTCTGGCTCTGGTGAATTCTCTCACCCTCCCGCACTTCTGACTGTACCTACTGCTTGTATGTATGTATGTATGTATGTATGCATGTATGTATGTATGTATGTATAAATAAATAAATAAATCTTTAAAAAAAGAATTGAAAGCACAGTCTTTCAGAGGTATTTCTACACCTATATTCATAGCATTATTCACAACAGCTAAAATGTGAAAGTCGCACAAGTGTTCATGAAAGGATGGATAAATAAAGGCATTATGTATAAAATGGCACATAATTAAGTCTTTAAAAGGAAGGAAGTTATTCAATAAGTTACAACGTGCATGGATCTTTAATACATAATGCTAAGTGAAATAAGCCAGTTACAAAAAGACAAATGGTGTATGATTCCACTTATATGAAGTGCTTAGAGTAGTCAAACACATAGCACAGAAAGTAGAAAAGTGGTTGCCAGGAGCTCGGAGAGGGGAAAATGGGAGTTATTGTTTATCAGTATAGAGTTACAGCTTTACAAGATGAAAGAAGTTATGTATTTAATAATGCATTTAATACCACTAAACTATACACACAAAATGATTAAGGTCATAACTATTGTGTGTTTTTTACCACGATATTAAAAATGAAGGGATGAAAAGACTGGAATTGAAACATCAGCTAATGATACAATTTAATAGTATCTACTCTATTTTCTTAGGTAGATTTCTGCTCATTATATCTCTCTAGACAGCTGATGTAAGACCAACTACTTATGTAGAATCTACTGGCACAGAGCCTCCCCGGTGGCGCAGAGGTTGAGCTCTGGCATGCGAAGCTGCCTGCAGCCTCTGCAGCGCTGGTTCGATCCCTGGCCAGCGATGAGGGTCCCACATGGTGCGCAGACCTCTCCTGCCGCTCTTACTGCTCCCCTCAGCAGTGTACCTCGCTCCTGCCTATTCTGCTCCATGCTCTGGCTCTGGTGAATTCTCTCACCCTCCCGCGCTTCTGACTGTATCCACTACTTGTATAAATAAATAAATCTTTTAAAAAATGGAATCTTGAAAAAAAAAAAGAATCTACTGGCACATACCTATCGATAGAATATGTTCTATTACTTTCATTTCCAAAGTTTTCTTCTATCTGTTCAATTTACTTTCGTATTTTCACCAAGTGACTAAACCACAGATAATCTTGCATAATATTTCTACTGTGCTTTAGCTCTTCTGGATACCTTCTCCCAGGTCAGTCTCTTAAGCCTTGTTCTGCATCCCTCACCAGAGCAATTATGTCTGCATGCCATGCAAATGTCTGCTCCTGGTCCCATTTTTTCAAAAAATCTAGATAGCCTTTTTTTCAGAAATATACCTAGAGAAATCACTTTCAAAGTGTGATCTATACAAGCAGCAGATGATGTTCACTGAAAAAGGTTCAATAGTTAAGCTAATATGAGAAGTGCTATATATTCTATTCCCATCTTGAAGATTCATGATGAATGAAAGTGAATCCAAGGATCTGAGAAGCCCTGCAGCAAAGAAAATTATTTGAATATATTTAGCCAAGTGTTTTGCAAACACATTCATAACCATACTACTTTTTCACAAAACACTCATATTTTGGGACTCACTTTGGGAGAAACATGTCTAGAGTGTGCCTCTGAGCCACCACCTGGCTCCAGTTTCTGAGCCCTCCCTGTTCGTTGGCTCTAGTCAATGGACTTCACAAGTAAAGGGCTCCTCACCCAAAATTCCAAGATGCTTATCTTCTTCAAGCTGCACCTTTTCTTGGAATGTCTCATCTTGGAAGGCTTCATATCGAACTTTCCAGAAAGTTCCCCCAATTCGGCTGGAGCTCCTCTGGAAGAACTTCTCTGAGCCACTGGCATATAAGGATACAAATGCAACATGATTTAATTATGTATCAAATGATGTCAATGTCACCCTTGGTTTCATCAACTTATAGATTTTTATGGTTAGGGAAAACCTCAAAGAGCAATCAGCTTAATTCCCACCCAGTTAAGCTATTTCCTCTGGTGACACCAGTGATAAGTGTTTGAGCCTTTCCAAAGTCAGGGAATTCATTTTCAGAGAAAGCAATTTATGTTACCTTTGGATAATTTTGATGATTGGAGTTTTTCTTTGTAATAGGCTGAAATTGTCTTGGTTATAAATTCCAGACACTGGGAGCATTTCTGCCTTCAAAAGTTACATAGTCTTACATCTGTACTTAGTCATACTCAGGTACTCATAAACCATTCTCCCCTTAATCAAGAATATCCTTCATTCCAAAATGAAATCCCACTAAATTAGCAAGTTCAATTAGAGATTCTAGAAGTCATGCTGAGTGAGACCCACATGCCTACTTTCCTATGTTTCCTGTAGATTCATTCCATTATTCCCTGCTGGAAGAAAAAAAATAACACGATGGGTGCTCTAGGATATTCCCCCACAAAGTCTCCTAGTCATCTACCAAGCACCTTTTCAGTGAAAGTCCTAGCATCACATATAGCCCAATGAGTTGGTCTAAATCAAGGTCTACCACTTGAATAGGGTTCTAAACCTCTGCTCTAGCTTGCCCATATCTGAGTCATGGATGACAGAGAAGACATTTGAAAAATTCTTTTGAAATGACTACAAGGCAGATTTCTTCCCTTTTTTCCTTCACTTCTCAGAGTGCTTTTTAAAATTCCTGCTTAAATGCCTCCTTCAGACTATGGGAGGAAAAAGGCAGGAACAAGGAGGTAAATAATGAGTAAAATAAAGAAGTATTTAAGAAATGTCATTTCAACAAATTTGGTCTGATCTGAGTCTTCTTTCTCTGAATTGAACTGGAATTTCATCAGGAAATGTTTCAAACTCTGCTTGGATCCTTTGCTGGTGATGACATAATCTTATAAAAAGCTTTTTAAGTCCCTAAGAGCAAACTCTCCAGGGGATGACAAGAATTTGGCTTACAGTTGCATAATCTAACCCAGCTTGACAATGATTGTGACACCGAAATGAAGTGACAGATTCCTGAGATGGAGCAAAAGGTATTTGGAGATTGGCAAGGAGTAGGGAGAGGGACCCCACTGCCTCTTACCTGCCTGGCTCCCTCAAATTCTTCCCAGAATTCCCATCATGTCCCATTGGACCATAGTTCCATTGAATCTCATGGGCATCAATGAAGTACTGCCGGACTTTGCCTGTGAGTAAGCTCACAGGAGGGACCATGGAGCAAGATTTAACCTTGTAAAGTGCTTGCATGCCACCTGGAAGAAGAACATCATTATTGACATGCCCATTCAACCCAATATGTCTTCTATCCAGAGAACCCACCCTTCTCCTCCTAATGTTTCCCCTCTCACTCTCCAGTAAACTCTACGCCTAACTCTAAATGGGTCACTTTATCTTACTTTTCAAGATCCTCTATGAGAGAAAGGGAGACCATTACTTCCGCCTGCTCACCACCACTGTCATTTACTATATCCTCATTCCTGCCCCTCCAAAGGCTTACATTGTAGCAATATCACATAATTTAAAGTCAGAATACCTGAAATTAAATCCACACGTTATCACTATCTGTATGACTTTAGGCAAATCACTTCCATATCTGAGCTTTAATCCCTATTTTTTAAATTGGGAGACATAGTTTTTGGGAGTACCAAATTTAAAGAAAGCAATTTATTTGTAAAGTGGGAATCTCTCCAAAACAATGGAATGTCTTCTACACATGGATATGTAGCTTCAGACTTGGACTGCAGGAAAATATACATTTTAAGTAGTGTCTCCAAATATGGAAGTTATTACATTGAGACATAATGGTAATGGATGATACTGCTTTATATTTGACTGACAACTTATAGAGGTCATTCAGGTGCATTTTCTCATTTGTTTCTCCTAATATCCCAAAAAGATCTGAAATTTGTAAATTAGAAATATGAGGTATGAAGAGGAGGAAAGCATGTTCACTTTTGTTGAATATGTATTATATGCCAGGTTCTGTATCAGGTGATTTGCAAGTTATCTCCATCAATCCTCATTATCTTAATGTTTCCTTCTGTAGATGAAGAAAATTAAGGATCAAAGAGGTAAAATAACTTGCCCAACATCACACAGCTAGTTAGTGGTGAAGTTAAGTCTTAAGTTTCTAGATTTTTAACTGCAAATTTGATGCTCATTTACTTCTTCCATATACACTGTCTTGGTCTCATCATTCCCCTAGTTTCTATGATTCAAAATTATATTATCTCTCTGAAACTTCCTTATAACTTTATGAGGTAGCATTCAATATTATAATCCTTAGATGAAGAAACAGGGGCTTAGAGAAGTACCATGACTTGCCAAAGGTAACTAAATAATTGGTGAAACCAGGATTGAAATCCAGATTTGTCCTTCTCTAAAGTCCATGGTTGCTTTATTATTGTTCTGTATCACTAACCTCCATCCTCATTCATACTCTCTTACTGAGGTATCTTTGGGACTGAAGGCTAAAACTAGATGATGGATCAAGTATAACTGGCCCATACTGGTCAAACCTACCTCCTCAGACTTATTATCCCACCATCCTATAACTCTTCAACTACTCAAATCTACTTCCACATATTTGTAGATCATTTTCCTTACACTCATCTAATACGCCATACATCAAACAATTCCAGAACGTGGTAACTTAAAAGAATCCTGGAGATGCTTTAGATCAAATCCTCTATTTTACAGATGTGGGAAATGAGACCCTAAAGTGGGAATTGACTTTTCCAAAGTCACACAGTCAGTTTTTCAGAGAATTGAGACAATAATAAGAAGCTTCTAATTACTTCCCTAGTACTCTTTCTGTTGTTTCATACATTTTTCCTCTCCTTTGATACTCTTAAGTGCACTGTGCCATTACTTCATTCTCCCTCTAAAAACCAAACCTTCTACCATTATTACTTTTGGGTTTCAACTGGAGTGTTACTATTTGCCCACAATACTCCATGATCTCCTACATAAACCTTACTCCTCTTTAATTAATATTTTCCTCATTTTATGTTCAATAAACCACATATACTTCCAAGCCTTAATTCTTTAGATTTCTAATTTTAAAAAAAGCACTTTAAAAAAAAATTTAAAAAAAAGCACTTAAAAGCATTTTAAAAAAAGGTTCACTTATCCACCCTTATGCTATCATATGTTAGAAATGGTGAAAGTCAGGCCTCCCTGCTGGTGCAAGGGGTTAAGCACAGCACTGTGAAGCTATCCACAGACTGTGCAGCACAAGTTTGATCCCCGGCCAGCCAGGAAGCTACCCACATGGTACAGCAGACCTCTCCAGCTGCTCCCTTCAGCAGTATATTTCAGTCAGTCTGCCTGTTCTGTTCCCCACTTTGTCTCTGGTGAATCCTCTCACCCCAACACCTCTGGCCTGTACCCTAGTTCTTGTATGCATAAATAATCTTTAAAAAAGAGAAATGATGGAAGTCAGTTCAGAGAGATGTTCCTGAGATCACCCTTTAAGTCTTTACTGCCTGAGCCAGTAGATAATTTTACGTGTCCCCAGACTACTAGTATTGTGTTCAATTTTTTATGCCTAGCTGTTTTGCCTGAAAGACATCTCTTATGGTTTCAGCACAGAAATCCAGGTTCTGCTGATGATTATTGACACATCTCTTATATATCTCAAAGCTCAGATATGTTGTATCTCACCTCGCAAGTGACTATTCACTTGACAGCTAATTAACCAGGTACCAGGCTCTTGGGGAACCATCTCAGCAGTCACAAAGGTGGCAGGAAAGAGGTTAGCCACATCAGTGTGGTGGCCCCGTATGGTCAACATCTGCCCATGGAAGAAAGCTGTGTGGACATCTACTTCATTGCCCATGCCAAATAAATGCCAAGCCACACGATTCTGTGCACACATGCTCAGCTCTGGTAAGTTCCCAAAGACAAAACCATTGATTGCTGCAAAAGAAAATCCAATAAAATATCAACATTAGGAAAGAATACTTCAATGGGAGAACGCAGTACTAATAGATAACATTAAGATGAAATTTTTTAAAAGCACACTATGATGAATGATTATAAACATTATATCATTTTAATCTCACAAATAGCCCTGGAAAATCAGTGTCTAGCATTTATCTCACACCAAAAAATATAAGAAGATCAAGCTCAGGGAGGTAAAGTTATTTCTCTCCCAAAACTATGAAGCTATTAAATGGTAATCCAAGATTCTAACCCAGCAATCTGAGAAAATTACTCTAAGAAATGGAGTTTATTTTACAGGCTATTCTTTTCTTCCAGGACAATTCCTTCTGAAATTTCAACAGGATAATTGTCAAGTTAGCAGACTAATTACCATAGTTACAATTGGTATAGAAACCAAGAGAAATTTGAACAACCAAAGCCATCCTTTTCAGCTTTTCTTTGAGTTTTACCTCCATTTGGGACTGTTTGGCCTTGAGCTCACCTATGCCACGAGAGGTAACTAAATCTTTCCATTAATTAAACAAAAGCAAAATCAACTTGATTCTATTCTTAAAATCAATTCTTTGAACATGACTCAGATTTTTTGTGTCTGTAGTTTTATGTTAATAAGATGGTGAATTTCCATCTTTCATCCTTTTCAGACCCCAAAACAGTTAAGGAATTACATTAGTGGACAAGGCATATAATATCTGACTTTGGAGTGAACTGCCTAGATCATTCCACATTAGGAGGCAGGGTAGACTATTGGCAAGAGTACAACCTAAGCAGTTGAACAGATTAGGGTTGGAATTTCGGTGTGTCATTCATCTGTTGCATAATCCTGGAGTCTCATTTTTTTTTATAAGTAAAACAGAGAAAATTAATTTATATTTTTTGGTCTTTGTGAAAAGTAAAAGATACCTGGCATGTAAAAGCACCCACTAATCCTACTAAGACCTTCTATACACAGAGTGTGACCACCTTCCTCCAGCTCACCATGCATCCTATTGCTCTCCTGAAAGGCCTCATCTTCTTTGTCTACTGTAAAAGGAGCTGAGCAGTAAGTATCAATATTCTCATCAATATGCCAGCTAAGGTTTTCATCTACCACGCTGAAAAGAAGGAAGAAATCACTGTTCACGTCCTGACGCTGAGGAGGGGTGTTCCCATCCAGAGTTCCTGGGGAAAGTAAGAAAGGTGCCATTGAAAATCTCCATTCTGAATACACCTAACACAAGAGGTGAAAGACCTATACAAAGAAAGTTATAAAACACTGTTAAAAGAAATTGAAGAAGACACAAAGAAATGGAAAGGGATCCCCTGCTCATGGATTGGAAGAATTAACATTATTAAAATGGCCATCCTCCCAAAAGTAATATAAAGATTCAATGCTATTCCAAGAAAAATATCAATGACATTCTTCAAAGAAATAGAACAAATATTGGGCCTCCCCTGGTGGTGCAGCGGTTGAGTGCTGGGCTGCGAAGCTGCCCACAGCCTCTTCAGCACGGGTTCAATCCCTGGCTGCCTGGCAAGGGTCCCACATGGTGCACAGACCTCTCCTGCTGCATCTGCTCCCCTCAGCAGTGTATTTCATCAGTCTGCCTGTTCTGTTCCCTGCTCTGGCTCTGGTGAATTCTCTCACCCTCCCGTGATTCTGAATGTACCCGGTGCTTGTGTAAGTAAATAAATAAATAAATCTTAAAAAAAAAAAAGGAATATAGAACAAATACTGATGGAATTCATATGTAACCACAAAAAACCACTAATAGCCAAAACCCTATTGATAAAAACAAAGGAGAAAGGAGGTATCACACTTCCAAATTTCAAGCTATACTACAAAGCCATAATAATTAAAACAGTTTGTTATTGGAACAAAAAAAGACACACAGACCAATGGAACTGAATAGAGAGCCCAGAAATAAAGCCAAACTTATATGTACAACTAATCTTTGACAAAGGAGCAATGAATATGTAATGGAACATGGACAGTTTAATAAACCATCAATAAATGGTGCTGGGAAAACTGGACCTCCACATGCAAAAAAGTGAAACTAGACCACTACTTCTCACTGTGCACAAAAATCAACTCAAAATGGATAAAAGAACTGGACATAAGACCTAAAATCATAAAATATATAGAAGAAAATATAGTAAAACACTATAAGACATACATATCAGAAACATATTTAAAGACTCATCACCCAAAGCAGTGATAGTGAGGCAAAGATAAACACCTGGGATTACATCAAACTGAAAAGTTTCTGTACAGCAAAAGAGACATTAACCAAAACAGAGAGACACCCCACTGATTGGGAAAAAAATATTTGCACTCCATTCAACTGATAAGGGACAGATCACAAAGATTTACAAAGAACTCACAGGGCTCAACACAAACAAAATAAACAATCCAGTCAAGAAATGGGCAGAAGAACTCAAAAGACATTTCTCAAAAAGGGAATGCAAATGGTCAACAGGCATATGAAAAAATGTTCAACATCCCTTATAATCAAGGAAATGCAAATCAAAGCCACAATGAGATACAACCTTACACCAGTAAGAATGACACATATATAAAAAAAAAAAAAAGCAACAACAAATGTTGGCGAGGATGTGGTGAAAAAGGAACTCTCCTACATTGCTGGTGGGACTGCAAACTGGTCCAACCACTATGGAAAGCTGTCTGGAGGTTCCTCAATCTACTAAAAATGGAGCTACCATACAACCCGGCAATTTCACTACCAGGGATCTACCCAAAGGACACAAAAACAGTGATTCAAAAGAGCACCTGTACACCTGTGTTTCTTGCAGCACTATTTACAACAGGTAAAACCTGGAAACAACCCAAATGCCCAAAAATAGATGCCTGGATCAAGAAGATGTGGTATATATACAAAATGGAATATTATTCAGCGAACCAAAAAAATAAACTCATGTCATTTGCAGCAACGTGGATGGAACTAGAAGGAACTATGCTCAGTGAAATAAGCCAGAAGGAAAAATAAAAATATCGGATGGTTTCACTTATAACAGGAATATAGGGGAACCAAACAAGACATCAGTGTAAAAACAATAATAACAGTACAAAACAAAACAAAGCAAAAACAGACAATTGTGAATCAGAGACATACTGCAGGGGAGGAGGAGGGAGAGGGATCAGAGGGAGGGAGAGAGGAGCACATAGTACTGTGGTAATGGTGCATGGGTGCCTTGGGGAAGGAAATTCTATGGGGACTCAATCTGAGGGGGTGGGGGGAAGCAAACATTGTTTAAAAATAAAAATAAATTTAAAAAAAGAAAATCTTCTTTCCTTAACAAGAGTAATCTACAAGGGATATATGTAAGAAAAGAATAAGGAGATAAGCCTTAAGAGCCTATCCACAACAGAAAAGCAGATTGAGCCTTCTGCTGCTAATTTATATTTCCAAACTCCCCAGACAAAACCAATTCAGTTGAGCTTAAGACTTGGTGGTGAAACACACAGGATCAGGAATAATTCCCCTCCAATATCTATGCCTATCTATTCAACCAGGGCCTCAACCTTATGACATTCCTACAATACTCAGGTCTTCATGCCTGACTGCATCTTACACATACCCCATTTTAACAAAGTCTAGAATCCTACCCAAATACTGATGACTATACTTGCAGTCCTATCCACAGTTGTGCTATTACTACACACCTTAATTCTGTGTGATCTGATTCCCATCATTGTTGAGTTTTTAAAGTGAAATAAGAAAAGATAAAAAAGTAATAATTTTTTTTGTTGTTGTTAGGGTTATTTTAGAAAAGGGGTAATAAAATAAAAGAAATAATTAGAAAGTGGGTTTGGTAAAGTTTATCCCTGGAAATAAACAAGGGTGATAAATCAACACTCCTACGGCTGCTGCTCATTATGTAGGTAGTTCAGCTATATCATTGCTTCCTCTAAATATCCCAAACTGCATGTCATAGCTCACACTTGGGGTCAGTACCTCTTTTACAGGTGACAAGGGGTCCAATGAGGCCAGTCGCAATGTCTCGTGGAGCATCTACATGAGAATGGTAGATCCAAGTGAGGCATGCTGGGTCAGCATCAGTGGGTGCATGGCTTTCTGGAATGGTCCAGTTGTAGATGTAACTGCCTCCAGGGGGAACAGAGTCATCAGCTTTCAGCCGACCAGAGGTTCCATCTGGGTATAGGGAGCCTAGAAAATGAAATTGCAGATTCTGGTAATATCTAGGGAAAAAAAAATCCTATATCTCACATCAACAATAGTAGAAGAGGTGACAGCCAATTAGGAAAGGAGTGTGGTCATGTAAAGTGATGCACAGTCTTAGTGCATAGTGGTGGCATGGAGGCAAGGGAAAACAGAATTTGCTCCTTTTAAGCACCCTGAAAAATAGAAAGCAATCACGGAATTTCAGTTTAAAGACAACATAATGACTACTTCCCATTTTATGGTAGAGAAAAATGAAGGAAGATAATTGGCCCAAGATCATAGATGAAGTGGGTGATTAAGTCAGGACCTTCTGACTTCCTTCTCTATTCCCCCTTACTCACTGTTTTTTATATTACTATTATAGGCATTTGAGCTGCAGATATGAGAAATACAGATTAATAAACTTAACTCCCTCTTAAGAGAGAAAAAAAGTTCCTTTTGAAAGACTGTGACACTAGAATAACGCTCACTTATATTAAAAAAAACACTCTTTCACATCACAGTCACATGTTTTATGGGGATGTCATTCAAGATAATAAGAAAATTGACTTTTTGCATTATTAATAAAGAATCTAAGGCCCAGACTGGGGTAATGACTTGCCCAAAGTCACACAGAATATGTAAAGCAGAACCAATAATATTACCTAGTTGTGCTCTCTCTCAGTATATTCCCTGCCACCTCAGAACAGTAAGAAAGAAAGACTATCCTCATGCCCATATCCTCTCTCTCTCAGATGGCACTAAATTAAAAGTAATATCTATTGGAGGCAGAGGAGAAATTGTTTGGTTAATTTACCTTCTGCATCCTTCTCATAGAAAACGCCATGGGGATGGATGGTGTAGGGACGAGTGGCAAAATTCTTCAGGTGGATATTTATGACATCACCCACCTCAGCCCATAACACTGGCCCCAGGAAGCCCAACCAAGCAGGCTGGGCTATTTCATCCATGTATGAACCATCTCTATATTCCTTGTAGATGGTCTTCTTGTAGCTGCTCCCTATCCGATTCTTGTCTGACTTTAGGAAGCTGGAAGCTACTCTGGGAAGGAAAGAGAGTGTTACAATATTCCCACAATCTTCAAACCTCTAGTGCATTCTTTTCTAGAGGAGATTGTTCATTTTTATTTAGGGAAAAACAAGAAGAAATGAGAATACACTAATTAAAACATGAAAGTTTTAGTTTAGACAATGGGAAGCATTAAATTAAAGCATATGGAATTTGTGATATTTGACCATTTTTAGCTTACAAAAAAAGGCTGCTAGCAAAGGTTTGGAGCTAATAATGGTGGATTAAATGCCAATATTGCCACTTCCAAAATTTGTGGAACTTTGAGCAAACTACTTCACTTTTCTGTGAGCAATTTCCCTATCTATAAAGTAAAGATGATCATAGTACCAAACTTGGACAGATGCTGCTGGTGACTAAAAGAATTAAAATGCATGAAGAACTTAGGACAATGCCTGGAAAACAGCAAAAGATTAATACATGAGGCCTCTCCAGTGGCTCAGTGGGTTGAGCGCAACACTGTGAGGCTGTCCGCAGCCTCCGCAGAGCTGGTTTGATTCCCGACCAGCCAGGGAGAATCCCACATGGTGAGGCAGAACTCTCGTGTCTCTCCTGCTGCTCCCCTCAGCAGTGCTTTCAGTCCATCTGCCTGTTCTGCAACCCACTCTGTCTCTGGTGAATCCTCTCACCCTCCCCCAACTCTGGCCTGTACCCAAGCTCTTGTATAAATACAAATAAATCTTTAAACAAAAAGATTAAGACATGTTAACTATAACTAGGAAAGGAGAATAACAAAGTTATCCCTGAAGGACATTTTTTAACATGAGATGCTGCTTCTCCAAAACTAGATAAATAATAATTTGTGGGACTTCCAGGTGGTGCAGTGGGTTGAGCACAGCGCTGTGAAGCTGTCTGCACCCTCTGCAGCTCAGGTTTGATTTCTGGCCAGCCGGGGAGATTCTCACATGGCATGGCAGACCTCTCCTGTTGTGCCCGCTGCTCCCCTCAGCAGTGCTTTCAGTCTGTCTGCCTGTTCTGCTCCCCACTCTGTCTCTGGTGAATCCTCTCACCCTCCTGCACCCCTGGCCTGTACCCCAGCGATTGTATAAATAAAAAATAAATATTAAAAAAGAATAATTTGTCAAAAATGACAGCTGTTTTTTTTTTTTTTTTCTTACTTTAACGCTTCCTAGAGTGCTCTCAGCTATCACAGTCAACTTGGAAATCTATGAGGATTGAGAGATTAAATGATTAATGATCACAAAAGATTATTTAGCATACACTTCATTTTTTTTCAATATATACTTGAACTTGCAAGACTTTACGATCAATAAAGGTTAATCTGCGGGATCTGTTAATACCAAAATGGTGAGGAGAATATGAGTTTTGTATCCACGATATCCAGTTCAAACCCTAGATCTTCCATTTACTAGCTGTAGGACTTGGGCAAGTCACTTGACTTCCCTGTGAACCTCAGTTTACTGAGCTATTCATACTTATTTCCCAGAGCTTTTGTGACAATTGAGAGAAATTATGTTAATTTCTAGTATGGTGCCTGTCACAGACAGAGCATTCCATGAGTAATAGCTATTTATTGTTATGTCCTTGATTCAAAGGCTTATCATATTTTTTTTTTCATATACCTGGAATCCATATAGTTTCACTGAAAGATGGGAACATATTTCTACCACACACAGTTACAGTTAGACAGCTGCTATTAAAACAGCACTGTGTATACTATCTTAGAATCAAGGGAATATGGAATTAGCTTTAGGATCCTAAAAATGCTGAGACATGTCTATGTTCAAAATCTGACTCCCTATCAGAATGCTGGCTGCTGAGTCAAGTAGCCCTCTTCCAGGAAACATGGCACTAGGTATATGGCCCAGAGATATCAGGAATTGGTTGCTACCACACCCTGGGGAAAGGTCCTAAAGAGACTACCTCCTGACCTCTAGAGTACCACCTCCCCACAACTAGATCTCTATTCCATAAGAAATTAAACCTACATGTCACTGTCCAGAGGCTGGTTTGTGATGACATTTCTTCCCTTGGGAGCATAATTCCATTGCACATCCTGGATGCCGAGGTAGTAGACTCGAGTAGTCCCATCAGTCAGTTGGGTCCACAAAATTTGAATGAACAGCAGAGCCCAGAAAAGATGGCCTGGCTTCATGGCCCACATTACTCTGAGAAACAGGCAAGTGAATGGTTGCTGGTATGAAAGAAAGAGAACAAAAAGACTTTCAAAACTAAAAAAGCAAGGGAGAGACCAACTGACTGAGAAAGCAAAAGCAATTTAGCTCAATCTCTATCTTACCTGATTGTTTTAGTTCAGCAAGTGTTCAGTGATATGTACACATTGGACTTTGGAGGACAAAGTTTAAGAGTCACTTGTACTAATAATTATATATCATTTCCTTCAGAAGAGAAATCTTAATTCAGTCCCCTCAGAAGATAAAAGGAAGAATGTACTCTGACCCAAGAATCAAGAAACAGGGCCTCCCTGGTGGTGCAGCAGATTGAGCACAGGGCCCTGAAGCTGTCTGCAACCTCCGCAGTGCTGGTTCGATTCATGGCCAGCCAGGGAGAATCCCACATGGCGAGGAAGACCTCTCCTGTCTCATCCGCTGCTCCCCTCAGCATTGTGTTTCGTCAGTCTGCCTGTTCTTCTCCCAGCTCTGTCTCTGGTGAATCCTCTCACCCTCCCACGACTCTGGCCTATACCCCAGCTTTTGTATAAATAAAAAAAAATCTTAAAAAAAAATCAAGAAACAAGAAACAAGCACCAGAAGCCTAATTGGACTACTGACTCACTCTGTACCTGAATCAAGTCACTACTTCTCACTGTACTGCTGTATTCTTTGTTGCAATTTTCCATCCTTTGTGAATTGTATTTAAAACCAAATGAGAATTCACCCCCAAACCTAAGATGTTCATAGACCCAAAATATAAAGTCAAAATGTCCATAAATACTAGAGTGGAGGAGTAAATTGTACTTTTTTATTATACAACGGAATTATATATAGCAATGCTAATGAACAAACTACACCTACATGTTTGTAATCCTTCAGAAAGAAACCAGACATATAAGAGTACATATTGTGTGATTTCATTTATGTAAAGTACAAAATAAGGCAAAATCAATCCATGCTGTTAGAAGTCATGATAGGGTTTAACCTGGAGGTAAGGATTAGTGAGCTTGGGATAGAGAAAGTAAGAAAAGGAAGGTTTCTAGATAATGTTCTGTTTCCTGATCTACATACTGGTTACATAGATGTGTTCAGTTGGTCAAAAATACATTAAGGTGTGGATTTAGGATTTATGCAATTTCCTGCATATCCGTTACACTTAAAACTTTGTAAGGGATATATAACAACTGAGAATATGTGAGGGGGCTATTACTAATTTCTCAAAGATATTCTCTTCTGTGCACAAACCCATTTCATATGTTCAATTCTGTGTCTGAATCAGATCCAAACCTCTAGGTTTTCACCCAGTATATCAGCCAGTAGGCTAGAGTTCTTGGGGTCTGGGGTGAAACATTCAGTCATACCATGCACAGCTACAGTCACACCCAAAAACCAGAAATATATAACATAAATGCAGACATTCACTTGCATCACATAGGTGAAGTCTTATGTAAAAGTATAAATGCACATACTTGCACTCACACATAGAACCACACTGTCACACAGTCTTAGTTTCAGGTTAGTAACAATAATATCAATAATAATACATCAATATTTATTGTGTGTGCATGGAATGCCAGACACTATTCACCTGTTTTACATGGATCAAATCAATTACTACTCACTACCAAACATGAAGAGATGCCATTATTTTCCTCATATTCCAGAAGGAAAAACTGCAGAACAAAGGTGTAAGGTAATTTGCTCAATGTCACCTAGTTCACAAATGGTAGCACTGGGTTATGAGCTCAGGAATTATGCTATCCTACCTTCCACAAAACTTACTTGCAGAATCCCCTGCATTAACAGAGATCATGTATATATTAATAATTAAATCTGCATCTTAGGGGCTTCCCTGGAGGCACAGGGGTTAAGATGCAACCTATGGAGCAATCCATAGCCACTGCAGCACCAGTTTGATCCCTGGACAGGGAGCTACCCACATGGTGCAGCAGACCTCTCCTGACTCACCCACTGCTCCCCTCAACAGTGTATTTCACTCAATATGCCTGTTCTGTTCCCCATTCTGTCTCTTGTGAATCCTCTCACCCCCACACCTCTGACCTGTACCCCAGTTCTTGTATGCATAAATAAATAAATCTATATAAAAAAGCTGTATCTTGAAAAAATGCATGCATGCTGAAACACAGAATCACACGTAGCTATGATCACTTCTGGAAACAGACAGATATTCAAACAGGCTGAGACAGCTCTCCCACTGACCTTAGCTTCAGGTAATAGTTAACAGTTGGAACCTTTTTTTTTTCTTTTCTATAAAACATGCATAATAATAGCCTTGGAGAAGAAAATTAGAAAACTTATAAGAAAGGGATCTAGCACAATTAATGTTTAGAACATAACAGACAATAACTGTTGTTTCCTTCTCCTTCTTGGCTACAGTTTGTTGGTTTATCCTTATTAGCTCCCATATATATGTTCTATATTTCCACTATAAGGGTTAAATTAAAAATTAACTTTCCCAGAAGGCCACCTTTAACCTCTCCATGCTAAAGCCTTCTAAAGGATTTCTTACTTTCTATAGCTCCCAATTTCATTATTCAGACTATAATATTTCTGTCTCATGAGCTGTCTGATGCTATGTCTTTATTTCCCATATTGGACTGTACACATATTGAAGATAGACTGTCAGATCTTAGAAGTCTTTGTGTGTCTATTACCATAACAAACATTGTAATAGGGGCACTATAGGTGTACCATAAACAGCTAAGGTGACATAAAGTGGCACAAATACATTTTCCCAGAAGTTGCCTCTAGTTCAAGTTTTCCACTGGCTCAGGGAGTGACTTTATGCAAAGTACTTCACCTTAATGAGCCTCAATTTCCCATCTATAAAACAATACAAAAATGCATAACTACAGAAAAATGTTTTATATAAAGGACTCGTAGAAAGTCCTTGAAGTTTTCACACTCTGCAATAGTCATAATTGTTTATGAAAGACAGGTACTTTCACATGTGTCTGCATATAGTACCATACATGGTCGCACAATTTTTCATGCTTTGGAGCCCCCAACAGAAAGTTTTCTTGACTCAGTGGAAGTCTGAATGCAACAAGAACCTCTTTCATGCTTCCTTTTTAGAGAGGTGCCAGCAAGTTCACTATGCCTTAAACTCGTTTACCTACAAGAAAACTGTCCCCAGTAAGAGTTACACAGTTGGAAAAACACATGATAAACTTAGAAATATCCCCAGATAAGATTAGTACAGACCATCAGGATACAATGAACAAGCATTCATAGGTGGTAACTGGTGATTAAAAAAAAAGGCTAGACAAGAGAACTTGGGGAGTAAAGTTCTTTTGCCCAACACTTTCCACTTTGCAATATGTTTTTCACATCTGTCACTTTATTTAGTTCTCAAACTCTTATGAGATAAGGATTGTTTTTCCATTTTGCCACCAAAGCACAGACTACCTAAAATAATCCTGATTCTACTTAACCTAACTTTATTCTTGATAAGCTGCTTCATTACTCTAGTCATAGTGTTTAATTTTTAAAATGGAATACTATTAACTATATCTCAGAGTTTTTGAAAAGATTAAGTGAATTAAGATCTATAAACACACTGGACATAAATAAGCATTGAAGTTCAAAAGTAAGTGATTAAAACATATCAGTGGATATTATAATTACAGAGAAGGAAATAGGTTTAAAATTAAATTTGCCAGTATCACAAAGATTTAACATTTTATGGCTAGTCATAACATCTTAAAGATATCATGTGCACACTCATAAGTTCCTAGACACAGTAACACATGCTAAGCATACAGACACATATATATGACTGAGATTAGTCTCTTTGGCAACAACATGTTGTAATGAAGGGAACCAGAACTTTGAGTCAGATAAACTTAGGTTTGAGTACTGGCTTCAGTTGTGTTTGAATAAATAGCAATGGGAACTTAGTAGGCATTTGACAAATTCCTTCTAACAGTGATGTCTTTTTTTTTTCTTTCCCAAAGCTTTGTTTATTGTTGATGTTATACACTATAAGAACAGAAGAAAGGAGAAAGCCATAGAAATACTTAGCTGTTTCATGGTAAAACTGAAAGAGTTCAGACCTTACAAATAATAGGCTCTAGTTTTGGATTCATCAGAAATTGAGCAAGTTGCTTAATTTCCTGAGCCTCAGTTTTCTCACTTCTTAAGTGGAGATAATATCTGCTTTAGGGTCCTTATAACTTTGCCAGGAAGATCAAATGAGATAAGGGATGTGAACTGTTCACTTGGCCAGGCCTATTTTCTCTCAGTTGAGCCCACAAGAAGAAGTTTGAGAGAAAGATCAGACAGAGGAGGGAAAGTAAAAGGAAAGGGTGAAAAAGGAAATGAAATAGGTAAAGTGAGCAAGAAGTCTTATGGGAAGTAAAGGAGGGCAGATAGAAGAGATGTTAATATTCCTGGATTAGTTGGAATTAGACATAATTTAGTTAATATATACTAAGACTAGACTAGTTTGGGGAGAAGGTCAACTAGGATTAAGTTAAGTCTCTCCTACCTTTACCTTACTTTCCTGTCATCTCAATGCCATCTTGGCCTGTTTTCCAACATATATGACAATTTGCATCAGTGTTTTCCCTAGAATTTGCAAGATGTTGCGTCAGTGTGACAATGCTCTTTTCTTTCTCTCTTTCTCTCTCTTTCTCTCTCTCTCTCTCTCTCTCTCTCTCTGTCTCTCTGTCTCTCTGTCTCTCTCTCTCTCTGTCTCTCTCTCTCTCTCTTTCTTTCTTTCTTTCTTTTTCCCTTTCTGAATTGGGCTAGACTGAGCTGGACAGGCTCATCCTACACAAAGGATCACTCAACTGAACACAGGAATGCTACTATTCTTGGGGCTCTATCTGCAATCTCAACAGTCTTCCTAGTAGAACTCTCCAAGATTGACCTTTGATCTTCTGCTTTCTTAATGCTTTGTGGCTCCTTATTTTTATATCCAAAAGGGCAAGTTTATGATATTTTAAAAAATGGAAAGGAGAAGATGAAACTTGCACAGATACAGGCTGGCAGGAAGAGCCACATCTGGGAAGGACAAGCTTACTAATGGGGCCATCTGCATAGACATAGTCAGACAGCCCTGGGATGAGAGTTGCCTGTGGCTTTTTCTTTACCCTTTGGTTCAAAACAGGTCTAGGTGGGGATTTTCTCACCATTGCTCGGTAACTTTCTTTGTTGGGAACAAAAAAAGGAAAGAGAGTGTTAAAGTGTCAAAAGGTCAAGTGTGATTTGTATCATTCTTTACTACTATAACTACAGCCTACCATGTTAGAGGTGGGAAAATTGAAGCCCAGAGGAGAAGGGACTCACCTGAATTTTTGAGAACTAGTACTGGAACTTAAAGTTCCTGATCTCCTAGTCTAACAATTGCATCTTGTATATCATGTTTCCTGGGACAATAAGATTTCACTACATATTCACATTTGTATTAAAGACATTGCTTTATTTTCTCACACTCCAGTTGTGATATCATAGAAAGCACACTGGTCTGAAATGTGATGAACTGGATACATATCCTATCTCTTGCCTTTAATAGGTATATAATGAATCAACAATTCACTTTCACATTTTTTTTTAAGATTTATTTCTTTCTCTCTTTCAGCACGGGGTGCAGTCAGAAGTACGAGAGGGTGAGAGAATTCATCAGAGCCATAGCGGGGAGCAGAGCAGGCAGAAGGACCGAAGTACACTGCTGAGGGGAGCAGCGGGTGGCAGGAGAGGTCTGCGCGCCATGTGGGACCCTCCTCAGGTGGCTGGGGAGCAGCAGGGGAGGAGCAGGGGAGTGCTGCAGAGACTGCGGGCAGCTTCGCAACCCAGCACTCAACCGCTGCACCACCGGGGAGGCCCTCACTTTCACATATTTGAGTCTCAATTTTCTCATCTGAAAAATAGGGGCAATATTTATCTCACAGGATTTTTGTGTTTGGACACTTAAAATATAATGTATATTTGAGCTCCTAGAAAAGGACTAGAATATAATAGATGTTTAGCAGAAAACTAAATGCATTATAAATTCATACATTTATAGACATGAAACAGCAAACGGGCCAGAAAGAAAACAGGCCAGAAAGGTTAAGGGCTTTGCTCAAAGCCAAGGAGCCAGCTACTGGAAAAGCCAGAATTTGAACCTATGTTTTCTAAAATATTTATACTATTTAACACAAAGCATGGGAAATAATTCATATTTTAAGCTGACAGATTAGGTCAGCTGTCATTTATTGGCTTACTTTATGCTATCTGGATTGCAAAATATGAAAATAAGTGGTTATTTTAAAGTGTTTCTCATTCATGTAGTTCTCAGATCCATCAACTCAAAAAAGCCCTTAACCTGTGAGATAGAAAACAAGCGCTATATTTAATGAGGAAAATTAACTACTCTTTACAATTCCAGGATTGTTCCTGAATCAATGAAGTCAGCCTGAACCTGGCCATTTTGGCGAGAGAAACAAAAGAAACCTGTTGTCCATTTTAACTTCCCTGCACACTCAACCAAACGTTCTCCAATTTCTCAATCACCAACTTTCTTTCTCAGTAGCCAAGGACTCCCTTAAACTTTTTTCGCAAAGAAAGACAGTGAGGTACTGTTTGCCAAGAGGAAAAAAAAAATCTTACCTTTGCTAGAAAAACCCTTCCATAATGATGTCTGTGTTCTAGTGGTGCTGAACTGCAAACCCCAGCGTATGACAATCCTGCTCAGTCAGTATCCTGGGTTACAGAGCTTTTACTCATAAATTAAGTCCTGTGCTCCAATTTGGCGGGTGTTACTTGTGTGGGGTGACGGGAGGAGGGAATAGTGCTGAATGCCTGCTTTTCCAGAAACTAAACTACTGTAATGTCTTGTCCCAAGACCTGGCATTGTGCAAAACTCGGGATGGTTCTTTGAGCATGTCCGGGTGTTTTACAAATCCCGGTTAGGATCTCAAGGAATTGCAAAGGGGGTGGGATGCATGTCTGTTATTGCAGATGCTTGCTAGTTGGTCTTTGCTGAGAGGGGGAGGAGAATGCAGTGTAAAAGTGACCAGTCAAAACTCACACACAGATTCCAACAGCCCTGCTTAAGATATAGGGACTTTTATAAGTGTATGAAGAGCCCCCACCCCCACCAACATTTTCTTTTCTTGCTCTGAAACAGTTACCAGCTTTGCCCATTATTTTGAGACCATGGTTGCTTAGTAATAAATAAAATAAAACTGGCAATTAAATTAAAAAGCTTGCTGTATGACAGACCTGTATGTTAAGTACTTTAATGGATTCTGTCTTTCAAATTTCATGATAATCCTGTGAAATTCATACTTAAATTTCCCTTATTTTGTGACTGAAGAAAACCAGGCTGTTCGAACAAAGGTAACTTGTTCAAAGTCACACAATTAGGAATTAAAAGACGGGGGGGAGTTTTACTCACTATGTATAAATTTATAACCACCACACTTTGTTCCTTGAAGGAGAAATAAAGAAAGCCCTTATGAAACAATTATTTAATGCATTCTGTTTGCCAGTCACTCACAGATTTTTTAAATATATACTAAGCCTGTGTCTGCTACTTCTAATGATCCAAGAATAAAACCCTGGTGCTGTATAACCAACATTTTTCTCTGAGGATACTGGATAAAAGATACCCTAGATAAATATGTCAACATCCTATAAACTCAGCTACTCAGAAGAATCAGAAATATTGACCTTAAAAATGGACAAAGAAAGAAAAATAGTCTCTGCAATTTATGGATGAAACTAGTATTTGGATTTGTTTAAAACCAGAAAACATACTTGTTCCTGCTGGAAAGAGAGGGTCATGGGAAAAAAAAAAAAAAAAACAAACACTGGTCAGAGTCAAATGATCCACCCCAGCTTGATCTGGCAATAATCAGCTATGTGACTCTGGCACAAGCTCTTTTCTTTTCTTGGCCTCAGTTTTTCCATTTGTACAATAATGACTTTAAACTAGATACAGACTTTCCCAGTTCTATAAATTTACATGTTAGAATTCCATGAAGAAGGCACATTCCAGATATTAAAAGTAGAAGAGAAAGAGGTTTCAAAGATGCAAAATATTAGGGAAGAGCAGGTACAGAGCAATTATTGAAAAACAAATGTAGAGAGCTCCATGCCTTTTTGGAAAGGACTGCATCTACCCACCAGACCCAAGTATAAAAAGGAGAAAGGTATGATGGTGGTTCCACCACCTGATATCCTTACTTTGTGATGAGGAGATCTTTGTTAGGAACAGATGCTGTTCTCCAGGCAGGCTCAATGAATTTTTTTTCTCTCCTGGATTTAAAATATTGGAGCAATGTCTAGGGAAGAGGACTTTCAAAGACTAAGCTGATGGAGCAAAGTCTGTGTCATAAAAAAAGTGGAGAAATTTAGGAGCTGCCCCCGCAGACTGTATCCAAGCTAAGCCAAGTTGAAACACCAGCAGGGAGAAGGTAAGAGCCACCAGTTTCAACGTCCTCAGAAATGTTCAGCGATCAAGGGAAACTGGATCAAGCCTCAGCAGCCTCAGGTTATCTGCCTCTCCCCCCACTTGACACAAATGTGGACCTTGAAGCTTGAGGGGGAAGGTAGGGATCAACCCATAAAGCTGGGATCCAAGTCCAAGCTTTAAGGCATTTATGACAGGGAGGGGAAGGGATAAGGCCTCTGTTCTGACTCATGAAATACAACAAGAAACAGGTCATATAGACACTAGAGTCAACAGAGTGAGGGCTGCAGGAGACCAGTTAAGACAGGTTTCCTAATTCACTGAGAGGGTGCACAGTGTCTTCTGCAAATTCTGGACACTGAAATATTTTTGATGCCTTTCCTCAGGGGCTTACCTAAAAAAGAGGATTATACCTATAAGATATGAGTTGCTGAACTATTTCATAAAACAGTCACTAAATATTTTCTTCAGAGAACATTTACCCTCTGTCTAACTTCTAAAACAGACCATTGTTGAATGTTGGGAATACCTATGTACCAATAAAATTTAATTTACCAAAAAAAAAGCAGCAGGATGCAGTTGACCCATAAGCTATAATTTGAAGAGGTCTGCTATATACTATTTTGTAGTATACTTATTTACAACATGGCATCATTACCAAGAGTGTGGAAACTACAACCAGACATCCTGGTTTGAATTCACAACTCTGCCAATTCCTGATTCTGTAACCCTGAAAAAAGTCATGTAGCCCTTCTAAACTTCAGTTGTACCTTAATGAAATTGATATAATAATGATAGTCATAATAGATATAATAATACATCTGTATATGCAATACATATAATAATAATACATATTTCATAAGGCTATTATAAAGACTGAAAAATAAAATTATGAATATAAGCTATTTACCACAGGGACTGGTAGATAGTAAAGGATCAAACAGGAACAGCATTAAAAAAAAAAATGAGGGCCTCCCTGATGGCGCAGCCATTGAGCGCTGGGTTGCAAAGCTGCCTACTGCCTTTGCAGCGCCGGTTCGATCCCCAGCTGCTCCCCGGCTACCTGAGGAAGGTCCTACATGGCGCGCAGATCTCTCCTGCTGCCCGCTGCTCCCCTCAGCAGTGTACTTCGTTCCTTCTGCCTGCTCTGCTCCCTGCTCTGGCTCTGGTGAATTCTCTCACCCTCCCGCGCTTCTGACTGTACCCAGTGCTTGTATAAATAAATAAATAAATCTTAAAAAAAAAAATGAATGGTCCAAACATTATGGAAAGCTGTGTGGAGGTTACTCAAACTACTAAAAATGGAGCTTCCATATAACCCAGCAATCCCACTCCTAGGAATCTACCCAAATGACACAAACTTATTAATTCAAAAGGATACCTGCACCGCTGTGTGCACTGCAGCACTATTTACAACATGTAAGATAAGGAAAAAAATCCAAATTCCCAAAAATAGATGACTGGATCAAGAAGATGTGGTATAAATACACAATGGAATACTATTCAGTAGTCAAAAAAGATAAAATACTGCCATTCATAGCAACATGGATGGAGCTTGAAGGGATAATGCTCAGTGAAATAAGTCATAAGGAAAAAGAAAAATATCGGATGGTTTCACTCATAGGAGGAATGTAGGGTAACCAAATAAGGGACCAGGAAAAAATACAATCAGTCAAAAAACAAAATTAACATCCAACTATTAATCAGAGACACTCTGCAGAGGAGGGGAGGGAGATGGATAAAAACAGGGGAGGGAATATGTCTTACAATGGACTATGGTGATGGTACAAGGATAAATTAGTGATGAGAATTTTGTGGTACTACACCTGAAAGGAGAAAGCCTGCATTGTACAAAAAAGAAGAAGGATGTAAAATATATATAAAATAAAATTTAAAAAATAAAAAAAAACTTAATAAATATCTAAGATCTTCCCTCACTCTTAGAAAATAAGTTATATTAATTCATAGTGAAAAGGAAAAGCACCTCAAGAATCCAGGCATTAAGTTACAGTTATGCTACTAAAGGAAACACAGTGATCCTGGACAAGTCATTGGACTGTTTGTCTTCACCTGTAAAATGGAGGTGATTATCTAGATTTGTCATTTTAAACTTTTTTTCTCTTATTTTGGCAGCAGAACTCTCTGCAACACAATCTTATGGTGAACAAACCCTCTCTATGGAAGATGAAAGTGGAGTTATTCTGGTAAGCCTAGGAGAGAGAAAGTAAATGGGCAGGGCTGTAGGAACCCAGACACTTTCCCACTCGCATGCCCACACTTACATGACTGTGGACTTTGGGCATGGACAAATCAAGGTTTGAATCTTGGCTCCACCTTTCCCTAAAATATGTAATCTTGGGAAATTCACTTGAGTTCTCCAAGCCTCAATTTGTCGTCAGTAAAATCAAGCTGTGAAAATAAAATGGAAGAATGTTTGCAAAAGGGTCTAGTGCAGGGCCTCCCTGGTGGCGTAAGGGGTTAAGACACAACCTATGAAGCAGTCAGCAGCCTCTGCAGCATGAGTTTGATCCCCTGGCTGGTCAGGGAGCAACCCAGATGGCACAGCAGACCTCTTCTGACTTGCCTGCTGCTCCCCTCAGAAGTGTACTTCGGTCAATCTGCCTGTTCTGTTCCCCACTCTGTTTCTGGTGAATCTTCTCACCCCCCACACCTCTGGACTGTATCCCAGCTCTTGTATGCATAAATAGAATAAATCTTTTTTTTTTAAAGGGTCTAGTGCATCCCCTGTTACACTGTAAGTGATCTGTAAGTATTAATCTTTTTTTCTTACTTCTTCTGTTTTCCTTATACCTGCCTACCTCCACTCCTCCACTAAGTGGTTTGAAACAAATAAGAAGGATATGAAGACTTTCATTAGTATAAAAAACATAAGTGAGAATGGGGAGGTCCATTTAAAGTATTTTAACATTTAAGAGACGAGGGAGGACATTTTCAATGTGTAGATGTCAGAATAATCTTCATAAATAATTAATATAATTTTACCTCCCACTTTAATTTCTCAAACCAGAATTCTCAATGTCATTCAAGATCCCTGCCTTCTATCTTTCTCTCCACACCTATTCTAACAACAAATCTTTTCATATTTACATTCTAAATATGTTTTGAATGTATCCGTATCTCACTATCTCCACTATTAACATTGGTGTGAACTACAATCATCTGTCACTGTAATACAGGATCACTGTAATAATTTCCTCATGGGTTGTTTTTCCTTTCATTCTTGCCCCCCATGATGTGTTCTTCAAATAAGAGTCAAAACAATTTTTCCCAAAACACAAAGGTGATTAAATTTCCTCCTTACTTAAAGCCTTCTGGTAGTGCCTACCTTATTGACTGAAATAAGAGAATACATAGTTTAAAAATGCCCATCAGTAATGATGATTATAAGGAAGACTTCTTCTGGAAATTATATATATATAAACAGTGGTGGTTTCCTTAGGCAGAGTGACCTGTTTAAGGAGGAGGGTGA